TTTTTTATTTTACCTGAAACCGTTTTCTGATCTTATCATCGGACGTGTTGTTTAAGCTCACACGTGGTTTCACTATCGTGTAAACACGTGGTTTTGATTCGATATGGACTTTGAGGTCCGTCGGGAATTAGCAGTTCTTAAACGAGTGCATAGAAGCTGACAGTTTCACACTTTGAGTTGTGTAAACTTTTATTATTTTATCGCTGTATTTACCTGTAGATAAACTTCCGTTTAAAAGATTTAGCTTTTTGGACTTGGTACGTAACTTGACGTGGTCCAACAGGGTGCTGGAAACAATCTGTAATACAGAGAATCAGAAAACGACTCGAGCGGAAGTAGGTCACGTAAGCTATTCGGTGGTTTAGGCAATGAGGTCTAGGTTTAACCTAATGCACCTCGACCATAAAGGATAAAGTCCAAGTGATAGGCGGTAAACAAAGTTTGGTAATGTGGACGATGCCGAAAATAAGGGCTTAGTAGCTGATCACTATAAAGCTGTCATGGCATGCCTGTGGATGCTGTGAGGTGAACTGGGAGCTGATATCCTACCTAAGGGTGTCACGTAGATGTTGTTTCCCGCGGAGTGAGCAACGAATGAAAGCACAGCGCTTGTAGGTATCACACCGTGAATTACGGATAGTTGAAACGCCAAGACGTAGGATTTCCCAGAACCTTGGTCCCTTACTTAGAGTTTAGTTCTGGTCTGTATATTTTTGTAACTTGTCCTCCTTATTGTGCTCTCTATATTTTGTCTTGTTCTCTTACGTACTGTCAGTTTTAGGCCATTTCTGACCAGAGTAACAGGAAATCTTTCAGTCTTGGAATCGTGGTTGCCTGCCAAAAGCGACCGGCACATGGTTTTGCATCCTACAAGGGCGCTGGTCTATTAATTTCTGCTCTGTTATTCCCTGTTTTCACTATTTTTCAACCAGTCCCCAACATCACAAGGCCAGCGGCCGGTCGTCTATATATCTATAAACAAAAAACACCATGTCAATAAAACTATTGATCCGCCAGCTTCACCCACAAGCCCCGCTAACTTTAGTGAGAGTATAAAAATACATCAAGAATTCACTCATACTGCACAGTTAACTTCAGCATTTCCGACTAATATTGTCAAACACCAATTATCGACCTCATAGTAACCTCCCCGTTTTTTCGGGATCCACCGACGGCCGATAGTTTTGCCTAAACTGCTTCGGCGTGTCCGACACTGAATTAAACGTGCCCATTGTGAGACGTGGGGGCCATATCATCACCCGCCTTTCTTCCTTTCAGTTGAGTCATTTCATCACCAACCTTCCCACGAGAATGAATTGATAGAATTCCTTCCTCACAGCAACCGACCAAGGTGGCGTAAATATGAGGTCACTTATTAACCGCACTTCCTTAACTACCCTGAACACTACCCGTTCTTCAGTTCTTCCATCGGTTTCTCTCAAACTTTCATCTGCTGGTAGGCACAAGATGTGCTCCAGTGATCATAACAAGCGATCAAGCTGCTTTTTGTGATCTAAGGGTAACTATCCTCCTTTAAATCTTGTCACAATCGTTTCTAAAACATGCCATACGCGCTTGCTACTATCCACGGTGCAAAACGACACCAATCATTTACTTCTCACAACCGTTCAGCATTTTTTGGTTCTTCATGAGAAACTACTAACTAGACTCACTTTTCCTTTCCTTATTTTGAGATTTTTTCTAATTCTCAACTCCACTAAGCTTTAACCATTTGAGTTAGTCTGCCTTCTGAGATCTGGGTAGATTTCTCGTTCACCGGTCCATTCAAAAGAACCTCCGCCTCGTACATGCGTATATACCTGCAGCTTTGCCAAACCTGTACGCAGAAAAAGAGCACTGAGCCCGGAAAAGAGAAGCAACACAGTCACTTCGCAGCTACTACTTGGTAAACGGAGCTCCACTACCCAAAGTCCAAACCGGATTTCCGAAATATTTCGTTCTTCAGAGATTCCTTAAGGCACAGTCATCATGTGACATTATGTGCACGGGATGGAAATCTGGAAATCCAGCCAGAAAGGATAGGTAAACAGAACTCCGAGAGCCACCAGCAGGTCGGCAATATTACTCTAAGACCAGTGAAGGGTGGTGTGGACGCTACAGTTATATCAACAGCACTCAGGAGACTTGGCACTCAGATTGGTAAACTAAAGGTTCGCATAGGAGCCTCTCCTTATCCCAACACGTCCTGTTTTGAGACAGATTCAAAAGAATATAGGCTGATTCAGTAGGAAAGAGTAACAAGAGAACCTAGACGATGGTACCGAAATTTCGTCAACCTACTTTTCTTAACTAATGTCAATGAAATTCTGAATACGGCTATCCCAAGAAAGAATTAGGCGTACATACCCAAAAATGTTGACTATAGGAGCCTAAATTATCCCGGAGGTCTGACAAAGGGTAAAACAAACACACTTAAATGTTTCCAGATATAAGTACCTTTAAGGCTTACATGAATGGAGGACAAACGAACTGTGCCCTTATCCCGAGGAACTTTTAAGTTCGTCGGCTTCGGAAAAAGGTAGCATTTTGCACTTTTCCTGAGAATTTCGGTGGATAGAAGAGAGTGCTTCCGTATAAACCATCCAGCGTTCTTAATTTCTCAGTTTTAGGTGACAAGAGTGAGTTATGTAGATTAAATTATTGAAATCTGTGCATAAGGTGCTCATGTTATTCGGTGCGGTCAGATATAATTCGTCTTGGTTCCGTCGGCGTCCCTAATCGCGTAACAGTAACTTGTATGCAGATACGTTTGGATAAACAGAATATATGAGAGACTACACGTGAAGAAAACGTCAACTAGGTGTGAAGCATCCCAGAGAAAAAGCCATAAAACTCAGCTTTGACGATGACGTCAGTGTCTGGGGAAATGTGTACGTAGTGTCTACCTCTCTTGAGCAGAGCGTGACACTCGTGCTTTTTTGGATGACGATCACTTTGGCATTGCTTCAGCCTCGACCTAGATGAGGTATACTAGTGAAAGGAAGAAGGCCTTCACTGCGGAGTTATTTATTAGAAAATGCCAAATGATCGGTTACAGACCATTGGACAGCGAAGCAAGATCTCATTTGCATCTTATTGAAAAAAGCTATACATCCATCTTCTCCTGAACTCGTCTTTTTGAACTTTCCTGGGTATTCATTGATTCCAATCATTCATCGCTCAAATCCAAGCAAATGTTATAAAGAGACTCCACTAATTCCGCAACAGATCTCCCCTTTTCAAGAGACGCAAAGCGAAATTCCACGAACAACGAATACTACTCGTGTGCTTTCCCCGTCAGTAGTATCACCGTTACACTATTAGCGGTATGGTTTGTTGTCTCTAAATGAAGCCTGTAATCCGAGAAAATTCGACAAATATATGGGTCGCTTCGGAAGACTCGCACATCGCACAAAGAACCTTAAAGTATTTCCGATGCTCTTCCAGATCGCTACTGAACCAAACTATGGTGAATAGTATAATTTCAAATGTTGGAAAGCCTGCATTATAGACCTATTTTAAAGCCTTTCACTATATCTGCAGACGCTCGAGAAAAGCAAAGCCCCAAATGATGAGTCTGGCGTTATCCGGAGTTTCACAGATGGACGTGATTCAAGTAAGTGGTCTGCCGGTTAATGCGGAGCTTCTTCAGCGAAAATTCTGGATGACACTTCTGAGAGACTATATGGCTAACCGAGCAGCACGGGTCTCTTAGCCAATGATCATGCAATTCATTCTGTTTTTGGTCAAGGTGAAAGGCAATGCTTGCTGACGCCGGGAGCTAGACTAAGCGGGTCGTTTGACAGTGTGTTCAGTCATCATAAATTTAAAAATAAGCTCTCCCTGGAGAAGCAAGAAAAATACGCAGATTGAAGGCTCCCAGCGTGCGTCACACTAGCACGGAAGGGATGACATCCTTTTATTTAACGTTCCGCCTTTGAGATGCCTCTGATGGATGTGTAGCCTGACACAAACTTCTTGAAACTTCAAATACTACTCCGCCGGCTAAACTCGAATTCCCTGGCAGTTATTGTCGTGGGGGGACTTCAAAACCTTGGTAGTCATTAATGGTGGTAGCAATAGGTTATTCCTCAAACGACCCTTGCTTCATTAAGCAGGTGGTCTGAGCAATGAATTTTGGCCTTTAGTTTCGACTTTTGTTGCATTTCTCGAACTGGATGCGCCCCGATTGTTAGCGTATATGCAGCTATTGTTAATTCACTGATGAACCTGAGTAGAGTGGATTTAAGAACCATACTTACAGCAAATCCTAATGTCTTTAAAAGAGTGACATGATGTCTGCCTTCACTAGGTTCATATACGTACCCTAAAGGCCACTTTACGGGCAAATTTTTAGATATTTTACGCCGTGTCCGTACCCACCACGGACGATTTACGAGTCAAAAGAATCGACAGTACCAATGCCTACGAAAAGGAAAGATAACGAATTATGCAAAGCTTGGAGCCCAAGATCCAGACCAGCGCTCAATCTGAGAAACTTGAGGGATTCTAATGGAGCAGAAATATGGAATCAACCGCAGGGAGTCTTACGTTAGGCACATAGCGGGAAGGTATGCCATTATTACACTATAGCTAGCTGCACGACAAGTTTGCTTTACATATTAAAACTCGTAAGCAAATTCGGACGTTTCTCCCTTTATTGCCCTGAAATTGCAAGTAGTTTACTGACGGTACAGAGTTCCCATAATACAACCAGCCACATAAGCCGCGGAATAGTCCAGGATTTCAGAGAGTCACACGTAACTGGACCGCCAAACATCCTTTAGTTGGCTTACGTACTACTTAGTTCTGTGAAACACCCTACGACTAGTCAGGATCAACTGATCGCCCGGTCAGTCTCAGTCACACAGGTTATACTCGGTGACGCTCAGCATGCTACACTACACCACATTTAAGAAGAGTCTTGGATACAAATCGACCCTATTATTCGCACACTTCATCACGTAAGTTAAAAATCAAACTTGGCTCTTTCCAAACGCTGAGTATCATTGTATGTATTCCAACTTGCAGCTTGTCAGATCAAGAAGGGCTCCAGTCCTCAGTGGCCTTGCGGCCTTTTTATTAACAAGTGCCCTGTCGGCTGGCGCCAAGTTTTATTTTACATTGATGCAGTACACAAGTTACGGAAGCGCCAGAGAACAGTGATTCTCCGAAGGTGGAGGTTCGCAACCATTTCTGTGAATAGAAGACAGAAAGAAAGATCATGAGCCGAAGTCTAGTAGGCAACTTTCTACATCAGCAATAATTACGTATAAGTAAAACTGGCAAGTACCGTATACTACACTGTACATATGCGAATTACGTCCGGGAGCGCAACAACCTAATTCTTGATAGAATTCGGCAAGTTGGACTCTAACCACGTTGTTCGACGCCTGTAAGAGAGAATCTTCCCTGTGGTGTTGAATATTACCACGTCTCACGGACAGGCGCGATGCCCTGGAACACTTGCATTACGTATCATTTTCACCTCCACCCATCGAAAACATGTGGACTAGACTGGACGCACAGACAGGCAGCTAATAGTGTAATTCTCCAAAATTCCAAGTTTGCCCTCAAACAATGCAGAATTGAAAGGGTTTACTCAGTACAGTTTGGGCAGGTCAACTTACCTGACCTATTTATGGCATTATCTTCTATTAGACTAGACCTTGGCACACAAATGGAGCAGCAGAGACATTTACATCTCTATCCAAACATTCTATTCGCGGGCCGTCCCGCAAAGCACACGAATCCACCTGCCTTCCCTTAAGAAAGAGTTGCACAATGCACTCAAATATACACACTATGGCACCGATCCTCGCCCAGTAGCACATCAGCAGGTCTGTTGAAACAAAATCGTCGGTTCCCCATAACATTACGCCTTTGCCGTTTCTGCGTTAGACCAACTATCTATCTCAACTCTGACCGTTGTGATTGCCACTATCGCACCGGTAGAATTTTCTGCTGATGTGGCATACACCAGGCCCCGACCTGAGGTTGTAACCAGGTGCGAAAACTCATACTCCTGTTCCACACACTCTACCTACCAGAGCTTACTCTCTGACTCAAAAAATTGCTGTAAGACCCCCGCATTGTATTATCTTTTCTACCGCACCCACTGAGTAAGCACTCTCAATTTTCCGTCTTTAACCGCGACCGCTCCCGGGCACCAGCGACATCTTAAGGTTGGCGGGATGACAACAAGAACCTTAAGTTGATTAAAATTGGCCCTTTAAACTTTTATCTGGATGTTGACGTAGTTTCTCACGTCCAAAATTCATGGATTTCCTTGTCTTTCCCTGACTCCAGATGATCGTGAACCACCTATGGCACCTTGACGTCGACGCCTGGCTGTACATGCTCCACATTTCCGAATCCCACCTAGCTCAGCGCTAAACGCATAGGTGTAATCCTAATTATACACTGCATCCTTCTTCCTCGTGGAGGGATTGGTTATGCCACTATCTGCTGCACCCCTCTTATTCATGTCTAATTACCCTGACACCAAGTTTCAAGAGCTAACTTTCAATTATTCTGTTGTAGTTATCCCCACCTCATACCTTTACCTGGATGCTCCAAATACAGTACAAACCCATTTTCTGAATACGTTTGAGCAATACTAACGATTCTTTTGCGCAGATGTTCGAGCTAGTAATGTAGGTAGTCACCACTTTCACCTTATGCAACCCCTCATACAGTCTGCGCGGCTACCATGTTTTTCGTGGTCCGCCGGTGCCTCCAGCAGCCCTTTTGAAAATTCAACAACATCATTTTAGGATCCGATCGTCATATGCCTTATGCCTGCCATCGACGCTAGTGGCAACCTCATTTCCTTATGGGACCTGCATGGGCAGCCGTCATCGTTTCGATTTCAGTGAGGGCGTACATGAATGTTTAATTGAGCTTAATGACCCGGAACGTCAAAAGAGCTCACTTCTGCACGAGGGAGTAACATTTGTGGCTGATTAGACTACCGTTCGATTCCACAATCACTACATGACCACATTCGCGGGACTTTTCAAGGACCGACGACACGTCATTTATCTGCGACGTATAACGTCACCTCCGACAAAAGGCCCCGTACTTCAGAGAAAAATGGCTCTTCTAATTCGTCAGGCGCCAAACATCGTTTGGCGTGGTGCGTGCGAAGAAAGAAACTGCTTATATGGTGGTCATACTCCAAGTTATTGGAAGTCACTGTGTAGTTGGAAACACCCCAGGCACCCAGCATATTGTGTGCTGTTCGTCGTAAAAATTAACCAAGCTCACTAACCGCGACGAATCCCCCAGCTTTGTCTTTCTCTGGCTGGTCAAATTATGCAGAAATAAAAATATTTTTTCCTCGCAAGTGCCAAGAATTTCTGCTCCTTCTCCAGTGTACGCGGACAAAAATGGCTTACTTATTGTTCATGTATATTTTCAAACTAATGGCTCTTCAAACACAGATAATTGCTTCCTCTCTTTGTGTGATTGCACGCATCTCGCCAAGCTGCACTAGCTCACTACTTATAGTTATTTCCTACGTCCGATTCCCCCCTCATCCGTTCAAGTTACCTATCGGTTGCCTCGAGAAACTGAAATATGCTGGGCCAGAAGTAGCTCTCCATATTTGTCTTATGTCTCTGCCGGCTCAGTTGGATTTAAACGCTGGTCTCAGGTAGTCTACAGTCATATTGCATTTCCCACATCCTGGACGGCGAGCACTCTGTCAGTGACATCCAAATCTGAACGCTGCGGTGAGGGCTAACTTACTCGTTTGCAGCCATCAAATCGTTATTTGAGGCCGGACAAATGAACGTAGTTCTCTTACGCCCTTCCATTTTGGCTTGTTTGTTTTTATCCTGATGCCCTTGCTGCCGTCGTTCTGGCATTATATCTCAAAAGGGGGTGTGTACATTCTCACCTATGAAGCCCATACAGTGGCCAACATGTACGCGACATTCCTGTTGCGTTTATACACAGTCCGCTTAGCAATACGCTGGCAACACATCAAAATACCCTACTGTGGAACATTCAGCTACTTCCTACTGCATACACTAGTAAGCTTATGAGATGCCAAATGTCCACTCTTGTGATTACTGAATTGCGTCAAATTGATCGCATTTTCTGAAGGTCACGACAGGCGCCTGGTTCGGTTGCGTTCTTTTTTTCATTCGGGTTCTGCATCCCTAAGCGTTCACCGAGTCGCATCCCCTGCGTGGGAAGTTTTGGCCGTAACAGAACAAAAACCACGCGTTATCTACACCTTTGCTTCCGGTGAAATATCCCGCGTACTAACTAAACTTATCCCACATTGCTTAGGTACAAGGGTCTGGAGATGATTAATTGAATTGCACTAGACGGGTGGTGTTTTCGAGGATTTAGGTCCCCTGGAAGACCATTTATGAATAAGAGCGAGGGAAAGAGAGAGAATTCAGGTAGTAAACCCCTTGGGCCTCCATAGAAAGCGCGAGTCGGCCGTGACTTAGCAACGAGGAGTGAAAGCCGTCACCGTCTATCCTTGTATTCTGGGATGTTCGCTCCCTCGTATAATTCTTCCAAGACAGTATATGGCAGGCAACCGACCTCGCTGGAGTGCATGCTTACACGTCTTATTTCGTCTGCATGTCTAAAGTTCGT